AAGCTATAAAGTAGATTTTTTAAAATGTTTTATAGAATAAAAGCTCACTGCGGGACGTTGTAGAAATGCGTGTGTGCACCACGACAAAGGAGCCTCATTCACTTTACATTGGGGTTTTTTGCGTGGTGCCGACACGTAAATGGAGCAGAATGCGTGACTCCACCACGCAATGCGGTGTTAAGGAGTCGTGGTGGAGTCACGCATTCTGGTGAGATCAGGTTGGTTTTTTCAGTTTTTTATTTTCTTTCTCCTGTCACTTTTTTGATCCCCTCCATATTCACCTTCCAATTCTGCTGTGTTTCCAGACTCCATTTTGTTAGAGTGCTTATCTGCTGAGTGTAGGAGGTCACTGCAATGCATGTCAACAGAGTGTGGCCCCATTTCCCCGAAACTGCAAAACCTCAAAATGTGTGTCAGTGAAAAGCTGCGCAGAGTAACAACAACAGCAAATGCCTCAGTCCTTTCCTTGAAGAGTTAAAACACTGACTGATCCCATATATTATTTGTTATTAGAATTGTTTGTCCCTTTCTAAAATATTCCGTACTATTTATATTGCAGTGTCTCTATCACATGAGATACAGCCACCACTGCAGTGTCTACATTACATGATGTTCTTGCTTCTTGTTTAGACAGCTTCCTAATGAGCGTACAGTTCCTGTCACACCATGTTGTGTACCGCTTGCTGCTTATCCGACAGCACACCGTGACAATGACATCCTTTGCATTTATCCCACCTCTGCTTGGGATAATTCTTAATAATAGGGATTTGAAGCGGTTTACCCCTCATGTTCCTCTTCATACTAAGAATCACATTCACATACTCATGCAAGAAAAGAGCCATTGGTCTCTACCTATTCGGAATTGTGATATGCTAAGCAAGATGAGAATCCTACCACAAGGAAAAGCAGTCAGCACAAAATGACCAATCACTAATGGTGGTCATGTTGCTGCAATGGCACACCCAGATCATGGCATTGCTAAGATGTTGCTTCCACCTGTGTGTCTTCAGGTCTCGCTACCTCTTTTCAATTTCTCTCTGCCCTTCTCAGGCCTCTCCAGCCCATATTTGTTTTATCATTTATTCTCTGCCACAACTGATACTGTCACATCCAGACCAGACATTTTCAAACCAGCCCACTGTCATCTTTGCTTGTCTTATTCTTCATGTACACTGAAGGCATGTTACCCATGCAGGGGATCCTTCATTTTCTGATTGAATAATGCTAACTGTCTCGCAAAATCAAACTGTTGACTTTTGTTGTGTGCGTTATGTGAATCAACACACTTTCAAGTTTTAAGAATTGATTAGTAATAAAACTCCATAAAGCCCAACATTTAATTGTGAATTGTTCACATTTCTGAAATGTGAGAATTTGGTGATTTTATTTTTGTTCTAACATTGTAGCTAAGTATTATGTTATTGTATATCATTTTTGTCTTTTTAGGTTTTGGACATTTGAAATCTAACATTGGGCTCACGGAAAATAATGGTTACTTTTTCTCATTCTCAAACTGTACGAAATAAGAATCTGAGAAGAATTGAAGATACTGATGACTATTAAATAGATGTAGAAACCGTATCATAGATATCCATGGGGGGAGGGGCGATGGGGCGTCTTCTGTAATTGTGCTGCCTTTCAACCATTAAAGCACTGCTTCACTGTGACATCATCGTCATCTTTAAAAGGATATGTCATGTGGTTGCTACTGACACATTAACAAGATCAATTTCCCAGGCTTTTTACCGACCATCAGTCTTCAGTAATGTAGAGACACACCCAGCACGCAAATAAACTCGGGCACACACATATGAGTCATACATTTAAGCTATGAAGCACATTCTATTGTCTGTGTCAGATCCAAACCTGAAGATTGAATCAAAGGTGATGCATCGGTTTTACTCACAGATGAGGATTTCATGTTGATTTGTCCACATTTGGTTTAATTAAGTCATCAGATGGTAATTTAATGAAACATTCACTGGCGTAATATTGATGATAAACAGATGGAAATGGAATGACTTTAAAATATTTGTTAAAGAGAAATACAAAGCTAACAACTGCTGTGAAGATTGACATGTAAAAATATAGCAAGTGTTGGTTGGTTGTAGTGCGAGAGAGAGATAGGAAATATCTAAATACAAAGGGAGATAGAAATACAGCAGGAGGCAGAGATGGGATGCTTAAGCTAAAATGAATCTGTATTTGATTTAAGCCTCTTACCCCATGGTTACCATACCCACAACTCACTCACTCCCTCCCCCTGCCTTCTCGAGCAACCTTCAAAGAGAACATCGACTGCTAAACATATCAGATTCATAGGGAAGGGGGGCGGGCAATCATTGGGACGCTTACTGGAAATATTGAGTAGTCTAGCTTGAAATCATTGATGAATACAACACGGGTTGAATACAATTATATCAAATCAGAGTCTGGTGTCAAATTATCTTTTCAAATCCAAAACCTTTTAGATCCATTGTTGGGCTGAAACTAAAGATTGCTTAATATGCGACAATTTTTCTTGATTTATCAGTCACTTAAAAGATATATAAAAAATAACAGAAAGCCAGAAAATACTCACATTTTAGAAACTCCAACCAGTAAATCTCTGGCATTTTTACGTCAACGATTAACATTAATAATAAAAATATATATTTTGTAGATACAAACAAAGATTAATTTACCAACTATATGAAGCTTGGTTGTCTCCATTTAGGTAAAGATTTGGTCAATTTCTAAGCAAGAAGATCTATGAAAAACATAGATCCATAATGACTCTCAGTCAAAGAACCAAAGCTCGGATTTAGCCAGAAAGATGACATACTGTATGTGTTTGAGCATGATCACAATGTGAATGTTTTGTAAGGCAAAATTAGATAAACAGTCAGTAAGTGATTTATTTAACCATGGAACCAGATCCAACCCTCCCGTATATATACTACCATACTGACCCCTAAAATCTACACAAACAACTCCTTTAAAAAATCCATACATTCTGAAGTATAGCTTATTGGTACATTATGAGTTTTGGTGTATCAGCACATTGGTTTGGTTTCATTAAATTGTTATATCAATTGGAAAGAGCACCATGTGTTTGTTGTCCAGGCAATGCAGGAGAAATAGTAGTCATTTCTGGAGCTCAGAAAGACAGGCTCTCTTACGGATTATGTTGCCCATTGGAAACAGTGTTTGGGTTATGTAAAGCAGATTACTGTACCACTAACCACACCAGCACACCACCAGTGGTTTCATCCATAAATCGGTCAAACACAAAAACAGAGACACAACAAACACAAACATTGACACACATTATAAAATGAGAAATGCACTACAAACAACAATCATCAAATAAAGACATTGATTGCTCCAAATACTAATATTGCATCAGGTGAATTATAGGTATACAGTCTGATATTGATTATCAATAGCTGACCTGAAATAAACGTGTATGTACTCTTGGATGTACACAAAGTAATACAAAAATATAGAGTGCAGCTGATCAGTGTTCACTCCATTAAATGAAGTGGTGAGTGGTGCATGCAGCTGCCTTCTCTTCTGTAACAGTGCATTTTTTTTTGATAACTGAGAAGTAAACTGCAAAGACTACATTTTAAGTCAGTGACACAATCTCATCAAAAGCGTTATTCCAAATATTGAATTGATGAATACAAGATAAATAAAGATAAGGTTAGTCAAACTGTTTGCCAACGCTGTAAATGTAAACTATATTGAGCCAAAGCTATGGCTCTGTGATCCAAACTAAGGTCATGAGTAGTCATGCAGAAAATCAGGTCTATTGATCTGATATGATCTATCCATGAAGTGAGGCTCCAGTACGTAACCAAATCCACCATGAGTGCCTTTTGCGGATATAAAATCCACTGGGACCTGACTTACTAATGTGATTGCTTTCAGTAAGGACATTAGACAAGCAGAGGCAGACAATGAAAATGCTGTGGCATAATATCCATAAGTGCAGAGAGCCACATCTTTCCTTTATTTGAACTTTCTGGTGCTGTGAGCAGCATCAAATAAATACTTTCATCTCCCTTGTTTATTCTTTCTTCCTCTGGATGAGTTAGTGAAATTATTGCAACCTTGTAACAAAACAATATAGCATAATAGCAAGGAAATTGAAAAGAAGGGTTGTTGTTGTTATGTAGCCTAGGATTGTTTCTGCTGTGTTTGCATCAGCATCAATGGAAATATAAATATAAATATTTAATAATCATGTTTTACAACATACTGTATGTCTCAACGCAAAGGCTTTCTGAATATTGCAGCAGCCTCAACACAAGTGGCCCCGTCTTACCAAATGTGCAAATGAACAACAATGATACTAAAGAAACCATGTCATGTATACTGTATCATGTAAACATAAACAACCTTTGAGATAATACTGTAGGCTAATGTTACACTAAATAGGCTATGCACGAGTAGGAAACAGCCAGTATCACACTCTCAATTGTGTTAAGGCAAGAAGAAAACGCAAGTAGATGTGTCATACTGTGATTCTCAGAGGTCATATTAGAGGCGTTTGAAACAATATCGATATCAGTACTTCCGTAAATCATTGTTCAGCAACATGCCCTTGCCTCAACAGGGCGTGGGCCTCGCACAGAGAATGCGCAAGGCGGTTGCCTTTCGCTAAGCGTTTAAGATCAATCATTTGTCATCAATTTTGTTCACATGTATTCTTCTCCACACTGTTCTGAGAATAGTATAAGTTGTGTTAATAAAAACATAGTGTTGAAGGAATACATCACATCCAAAACACAAACAACTGGTCCTGATCAGCTGCATCACCAATGGGCGCGCAGGGAGGCAGGCCTGGGAGGTTATTAAGAAGAGATCTATTACTATCCATGGGAGCGAATGTTCGTTTGCAACATCAATTCAAAACGGGTATACATTATTTGTTTATCATCTTTAGTGTCATTTTCTCCACTCATCAACCGTACGCATCGTCCCCCATCATCTCCCTCACTGTAAGCTCTTACCTGCAACCAGGAGGAGAGAGGGAATGGAAGGTGGATAAGGAAAACATATCGGCTCTGTCCGCCATCTTCTTCCACAAATGACTCAGAGCGACTGCAGAAAATCAAGGAGGGGAGCGCAGTCCATTCACAGTCACAGGGCAGAGGACAGACGCAGCCGTGGACAGAGGGTTTTCTCTCCGCGGCCCCCCAACAGATGACCCCCTGGCCGCAAAGCCTTCAATCAGACGAGCCTGCTCAGCACCATCAAATCTGCAGTCAAACATCCACACAAGCGGAGAAAGCAAGAGGGAATGATCTTCAAAAAACACTGCACCACACCGCGGAAATCAAAATACAATCCCGTGTCCCCCCCGGTACGTCCACGCGGACAGGATGGTACCGCAGTCCGCGTTTTTCCTCGCCAAATAATCTGCTGCTGTGTGATGCTGCCTGTGACACACAGAGGATACGGGCCAGCAGCACGGAGACGGGCAGAGACAGAAAAAAGGGGGGGGGGGGGGGGGGGGGGGGGGGGGGGGGGGGTGGGTAGCAGAGGCGGTATAACGTCAGTGCCGTTACGGTGTGAGCAGGCTGTCCTGTGTGGATGCAGGCAGAGAGACACTCTTGTTTCTTGTTTGAGATGTTTATTTTGACCCCATCCTGTGTCAGTCAACTTTATCCTGATATGTCCATAAATACAATGGCGAGAGAGAGGGAGCAAAATGGCAAGTGCTGCCTGTACAGTATAGGACAGAACAGAACATTAACCAGAAATGGCAATGGAAACATTCAAAGAAGAATTGTTGAAATATCCGGATACGAAAACAAAGTGCCTCAAAAATGGAAGAAAAACATTTCTTAAAAGGTAAAACGAAACAGGGCTACATATAAATAGACTGTTGAAATACTAAATGTTTTCTCAAACAACAAAGGGTATTATGGAATGTCTTAACGCACATCAAACATGTATCTCAAATGCAAATTATCTATAGGCTATAATTATCATAGTAAGGCATACATAATATGGTTAATTTCTCCAGATAACGCTCTGACTTTCAGAGAAAAAATACTTAAAACATAGGCATTGAGGAAGCTTTAGGGTGATCAGTGGCTGAACGTTTCAGTTTTGCTCCCTTTTTATTTACTAATATTGAATCAAAGATTGTAAATTAACTATCAATCAGAGCATCCTAACTCAGACGTTGAGTTTATGAAAATACTTTAAATGTATCATTCGATACCGAGCAGATGCAATGTGGAGCTGTTCACTGCCTGTGGTTCTGAAGTGCAAATCGCTAAGCTGCCATTTACAATCTGTTGCACACGGGGGCATTAAAAATGTGTATTGTCCTTCTACTTGACTAGAAGTGATTGTAGTGATCTAATGGAAGAAAACTTTTATTTTTACCAAATTGTATTCTCATTTATTAAATCAGTTAACTTTATGATGTTAACTCAGAAATTATAGTCCCTTTCATATCAGTGTGCAGCTTAAAAGATGCTAGTCTAAAGTATGAACTGAACATTTAGCATTTAACAGAGGGCAATGAAAAGCAAGTTACACTTTCATCTGTTTCTTACACCTTTATTATATTTTGTATATGTCAAATTCTGTTAACATTAAAAGTAGTAAATATGGGTTATTTTCTTGTTTAAGCTGAATTATCAACAAGAAAATTAAAAACATAAATAGTTATTAACCATTGAGAATGTTTATTTTCATGGTCATAGCTGTGGCAGGAAATTGAGTTAAGCGACAACCCTCTCTCCAATGGGGATGGGGCCCAGGGTGACATCACCTTCCCATTCGAAAACTAGAAAGAAAGACAGAAGACACGTGTCACGTTTTGCACTGCTGGGGTTGTCTTACAACTCAAGCACACATTCACTAGGAATGCATACAATATACCATACCGTCATTTTGGGACACATCACGGATCTTCCTTCCAGGAGCCTGACCAAGGCTTCCTTGATTTCCACCAGTTCCATGAGCTTCACAGGAGCCACATTGTGCATCCTGTCCGCTGGCCTCTTTCCACCTAGGAGGAAAGAAGAAGAAGAAGAGAAGAAAAGTTAATAATGTATCAATACTCCAATGACACATTTTCAAAGAAGCCCAGACTCACCCATTCTTGTAGGAACAAGCTCTATGTTCAGTATCGATGGGGTGTAAAGTGGATGTAGCTTTCAGGTGGCATGAAATGTAGAGCTGTTAGAAAAGAGAGTGGTTAAGTTATTATTATGTGTATTTTTCCTGCATATGATGTATAGCAGAATCTTTTAATCAGTCTTGGAGATGCCCACCATTCCACTCTCAACGTTCTTGAACCTGAAGGCCTCCAACTGGAACTGAAGCTTGTGCTCTGCAGTGCGATGCATGAACATAGAACTAGAGCCTGTGATCCGTGCATCAACCAAACACCTGCATGCAGAAAAACCACATTAGAGGACAAACTTCTGTTTGTGATAATCAATTTTCACTGTACACATCAATTTAAATTAACCAGCTCACCCATTGTTTTCAATGAAGACATAGCAAGGTAATGAGTTCATGTCAGGTACAATGGTGGCTACGCATCTCTCCACATAGACACGGAGGGGCACGTGGAAGAACTGCTTGACAACAGCCTCTACATTTATGATGTCTCCCAGGTAATACTGGAAACTTGGTCTCTCGTTTTGCCAGTCATCTGATCAAACACAACATTTAAATTGAAGTTTAAGTTGTAAAATATACATTTCTAATCAAAGCTCTGTAAAAGGTTAATTCTGCAGATAAACTGTTTTTTAACTCACCAGTCATGAGTCTCAAGGTGAAGTAAAGGAATTCCTCTGACACCTTAACTGCAGAGAATGGGATCCACATGGGGTCAAGAGGAAGGCTGCTCACATTGTACTTCCTAAATGATGAAAGAGGTTTGCTTAAAATGCAGCTTAAAGTCATTTCTAATATGCATCCGCCACAGGTAATCAGATTTGGTGATCCATGGTTACTGGAGTTACTAAATGTGTTAGTATTTCAATGTCATATTATGTTATTTATTATATGTTTGTATGTTTATTGCCACACCTCTAATGGTCTTATTACCTTGGGTAGTGGCATTCCACAATTACTGCAGCTGTGCCTGTCCTCACCACAAGAGCATTGGCCAGAGGTTTGGGATTATGGTTCAGAGTGAAGCTGTAGATAAGGTAATCTTCTGTCACCTAGTGGAAAAATGTATATTAGTACAAACAAATGGCATCATACATGAACATATTGGTTTACCATATTTTTAGATAATAACCATTGCAATCTTTTATTTATTTTTCAGTGACTAGCATTTGTATTTAGCTTACGGTTAATGTGCTAAGACAACTGTGCAGTTCTGTCTCAAAAATCAACACTTGAGCAGCATTGTCCTCTGCAACAGGGGCACAGTTTCCCAGGGTAATGTCGGCAGGGTTGATAAATTGGCCATTCCCAAAAAAGTCCTTCTTGGCTTCCACATGAGCAATACTCTCTCTGCACTCGACAGCAACAGTTGCAAAAGCAACCGGAAGTCTCAACTCGAAAGGCACCGCGACTGCAGGGTCAGGCGTGGGGTCAGCAGGGTATACCCAGGTGAGAGGTCTTTCAAATGTCTGCTTACTCTGTTGGGCCGTCTGAGGTTGTTGTTTGACAGGCTCCTGTCTCGCTGGCTTCTGGTATGGTCCTGCCGGCTTGTAACCACCCACAGCCCTTTGAGCATGACATAAGCTGCCTAACAAGGCCAGTGCCACAATGCACACAACAGTGGACTTCATCACCATCGCTTCACAACAGCAAGTGATCTACACAGTGCACTAGGTGATGTGAAGAAGATGGACATGTGCACCTACTTTTATAATAAGTTATCATGTTTGCTTCCACAACATTCTCGCCCGTTCTGTTGGCCATTCCCCATCAGACATGATGATATTAGATGCTAAGCCAATGAAATGATTGATGCTTTTGACGAAAGCAATGCCTACAGCTCTGGTGATGCATCTTCAACTAGATTTAGATTATTTATTATTCTAATGCATAACATTTTATACTATGCTGAAAAAATACAAGCAGCATAAATAAATAATATTATGAACACAAAACTGTGGATGTGCTGACACAAAAGTGATGGTAATGCAGCCAAATGAAATAAATATTAACATATGGAGGGTATCATTTGAAAGTAACTTTTGAAAGTTCCAAAAGTCTCACAAAAAGTTATGTTGACCTTGGGTTAGGTCAACCTGCCCTCAACATGGAATTTCAAACTCAATATTTTGCCAAAGTACATGTTGTGGAGAGCTGCAAATCAATATGGTCCTAGTCCAGGTTGATGTTTCTAAATGACCTTTACTGTGTTTACATAGAGATCAAATAGATTGGTGATCTTAGGAAGTAAAAAGAGTTTATAAATGAAAATATTCCTGCGAGAGACAAATTTGATTAATCCCCAAATTGAAAAATAATACAGAGGTCAAGTGATGACATGTTTTTCCTTATTTTAACCTGCAGATACGTGATTTACAATAAGCTCCAATTATTCATCTGCTTTGCTTTCCATTTTTTCGTCCTCTTTTTTTACCAAATGATTTCAAATATAACAAATCCATATGTTATAAATGGCAAAGCTATTAAACAAATTATTCAAATCAAAATTGACAACAAAATTGTATGCAACCTCTAAATCTTCGTTACCGCAACAGCGAGAAAAAAAGCTTATCCAGGAAAAATGAATTGCTATGTCAACCAAGTACAGACTGATCTGAATCTGCATACAGTTTTCTATGCTTGACGGGAAATACTAAGTGTGCCAATTTCACAATATTTCCCCAGCAAAGTTCTTAGAAATTGTGTTAGTATTTCAATGAAATAAGATGTTCAGACATGAATGTTATAAATATATAAATTGCTAGTATATTACATGAATCCAGCCATCTAGAGAATGTTGAAATGCTTGACGTATATGCACACGCCACTTACTTATCTAATTTCTTTACATTTGACATATCTGCATGCTATACTAGTTGTTTATGGATGCTCGTCAATTCAGTCAAATGTTTGTATCAATGGTAAAAAAGATAAGAAGAAGTATTTGTTTAGTCGAGTCCTGCTGCCCAAATACATGATGACCTGCACATTGCAGGTCATGCAAACTCTGTGTAAGGTTTTGTTTTGAAATTATACAAACAATCTGGAAATTCTGACAATCACGCTCAATGACAATCAGGGGGTTCTTAAGCATGGGTTGGATACTAATTAATACATATTCATGTTAATGCACCAGTGAGTTTACTACCATGTATGCTGTTATTATCTTCCGATGCAATATCTCTAGAATTCATGTTATTTGTCCACTGAAATTACTTGTTTGGCAATCCATTAAATCTCTTGTGCATCACCACACTGTCACTGGAGCTTGTGATTGGAAATGATTGGCAGCAAATAGGATGTGAGTCCTCATCGTCAACATTACCAATAGGCCAACCTTATAAAAGTCAGCATAGCACCATTTTTATTCCACAGTAGTTGCTGTTCCTTTCAAATCAGTTCACTGTGAAGCCAATGCAATGAAGTTGATTGTTTCTTTTTTGGCAGTTGCCCTGCTTGGCTGTCTGGCTGATGCTCAACATATAAAGAAGCAGTCTCAGGAGCCTCATCAGCCACAGTGGGCTCAGCTGCCCCAGCAGCCTCATCAGCCAGCAACTCCCCCTAAATGGAACCCACCTCAGCAGCCTCATCAGCCAGCAACTCCCCCTAAATGGCACCCACCTCAGCAGCCTCATCAGCCAGCAACTCCCCCTAAATGGAACCCACCTCAGCAGCCTCATCAGCCAGCAACTCCCCCTAAATGGCACCCACCTCAGCAGCCTCATCAGCCAGCAACTCCCCCTAAATGGAACCCACCTCAGCAGCCTCATCAGCCAGCAACTCCCCCTAAATGGCACCCACCTCAGCAGCCTCATCAGCCAGCAACTCCCCCTAAATGGAACCCACCTCAGCAGCCTCATCAGCCAGCAATTCCCCCTAAATGGAACCCACCTCAGCAGCCTCATCAGCCAGCAACTCCCCCTAAATGGAACCCACCTCATCAGCCTCATCAGCCAGCAACTCCCCCTAAATGGAACCCACCTCAGCAGCCCCAGCAGCCTCAGCAGCCTTGGCATGATCAGCAGCCTAAACATCCACATAGGCCTCAGCTGCCCAAGCAGCCCCATCAGCCTAAAGAGCCACAGTGGCCAAAGTTGCATCAGACTCCTTGGAATGATCAGCAGCCTAAACTTCCACAGAGGCATCAGCAGCCAACTCCCCCTAAATGGAACCCACCCCAGCACCCTCAGCATTCTAAACAGCCACAGAGGCTTCAGCAAACTTGTGAAGTTGCTGACAATCACAAGATACAGTGTGGAGCTCCTGGAATCTCTACTGAACATTGTGAAGCTATAAACTGCTGCTATGGTGGAAACATGTGCTATTATGGAAAATCTGGTTAGTGTTTTTCTTACTCCTGAAAGAAATACATGTATATCTCTGGTAATTAAAATGTGTTCAATGAGTATAGCATGATCCATAGTCTTTGCTTGTAATTGTGTTGTTTCCAGTGACCCTTCAGTGCACCAGGGATGGTCAATTCGTCATGGTGGTGGCCAAAGATGCCACCCTACCCAACCTCGATTTAGAGACAGTTTCCTTACTTGGAGGTGGCGAAAACTGCAATCCTGTTGGCACTACTTCAGCCTTTGCCATCTACCAGTTCCCTGTCACTGCCTGTGGCACTGTCAAGATGGTAAGGATTTTGACTAATTTAAATGTATAATGTCATTAGTATACATTTTCGTTGGGTAGTAATTCAAACTGAAATACTGCCAACCTACTGTAGGAGGAGCCTGGCGTTATAACCTATGAGAACCGGATGTCCTCCTTTTATGAAGTCGCTATTGGAGCCAACGGAGCCATCACCAGGGACAGTCAATATGAGTATGTATTTGTTTAACTCTGAGTGGTCACAACATAAAAGATTACTACTTCTATTGCTACTTCAGTTAATTCTCTGCTAAGGCCTCAAGTATTCAGACACATCAGTGGTATCAATAGAATACAGTGAATTTACCTTGAATTCTCTACAATGGTTTGGGGTTAGTTCATTGTGATACGACAAATTGCACTTTAATACTTTTCTGACTAACTGACTAACATAGACCTTATATCTTGTCTCAGGCTGCTTGTCCGGTGTAGATACATTGGCACCTCAATTGAGGCTCTAGTTATCGAGGTTGGCCTGCTTCCTCCACCACCCCCAGTGGCAGCTCCAGGACCCCTGCGCGTGGAGCTAGTGCTGGCCAATGGAGTGTGTTCAGTCAAGGGATGTGTGGAAGGTTAGTGTAAAGGATATATGGTGTGCTGTCAGTCTCATTCGGCAGTGATTGTGCACTAACCAAATTGTTTTTGCTAGAGCAGAGGAGGTGGCCTACAACTCCTTTTACGTTGACTCTGATTACCCCGTCACAAAGGTTCTCAGAGACCCTGTGTATGTGGAAGTCCGTATACTGGAGAGGACTGATCCCAACATTATATTGACTCTTGGAAAATGCTGGGCAACTTCTACTCCCTACTCTCAAAGTCTCCCTCAATGGGACTTGCTGACTGATGGGTAAGAGTGAATGTTGATTTTACTTGGAAATAGGCCTTTATAAAACTTTCTACGAGGCTATACTGAAAACCTATTCTTCACTCTCTTTGCCATAGCTGCCCATGCCGTGATGACCCCTATCTGACCATTCTGGTCCCTGTGGACGCTTCATCAGGACTCATGTACCCAACCCACCACAGGCGTTTTGTTTTCAAGATGTTCACGTTTGTATCCGGTGGAGGTGTAAAGCAAGCGGCTATGATTCCCCTCAACGAAAAGGTATAGGATTTAACTATCTAAGACAGAGGCTTTTGTCAAGTTTAGTTTTTAATATGTTTTTTGTAATATAACCTTCATAATTACAAATAATATATAAACATTTTTGACCAGGTGTATATCCACTGTGAAGCAGCCGTGTGTCAACCGTCTGTCGAAGATAATTGTGAACCTAGGTGCCTCAGAAAAAGTAAGTATAACAATGTTCACTGTGAAAATATTTAAACCACCAATTTTATTTTTCTCTGAAGTCTGTAAAATAGGCAAGGCAAGTTTATTCATGAAGCACATTTCAACACAAGATAATTCAAAGTGATTTACAAAAATGAAAAACATTAATAGCATTAAGAAATAGTGCAGTGGAAACACATTTAAAAACAGTCATTAAAAAGCAAAGAGATTAAAATAAACATAAAACAAGCTAATATAGAATAACACAGGTATGAAATACATGCATACAAGTTACAGTGCAGTGTAAGATATGAATAGTTCAATTAAAAGCAACAGCAAAGTGAAAGTATTTTAGCCAGGATTCAAATAGTAAGAGTTGCAGCGGACCTTACATTTTCTGGGAGTTTATTCCAGATTTTTGGAGCACAATAACTAACGATGCTTCTCCATGTTTAGTTCTGAGTCTGGAGACATAAAGCAGACTCGTGACAAACAGTAAACTATAGAGTCATGTTTTTTAAGTGTTAGACAAAAAAAAGGAGGCAGATGAAAATCAAAAAAGCTGAACATGTTTTTTAGTGTTGGGATCAGGGGTTCAAACTCCACTGCAGTCAGCATGTCGTTGTGTCCCTGGGCAAGACACTTCACCCCAAATTGCTCCTATGGGGATTGCCCACAGTATTGAGTATGTAAGTCGCTTTGGATAAAAGCATATTGTTTTATGTTTCATGTGGAACCTATATGCTGCAGGTCTCCCTTGAAAAATATATCTATGATCTCAATGGGACCAATCTGGTTAAATAAAGGTTTGAAATGAAATGAAAAGCGTCTAACAAGTAACATGTAATGTAATGTTTTCACCAAAGGCGTATGATGTCGGATGTCATCTTGTGTCTTTCTCAACCTCAATTCTGACAGCAACTGACCATTGGAATGTATTTTACACAGGGAGAGACGTTTCTGTCCAGAAAGGCTCCAGAGAAGAGACCACTGTGGTTAGCAGTAAGGAGCTGGTCTTCATTCAGTAACATTATCCTGAAATCTCTTTCTCTGATGTTTTGTGAAAAGTGATTGAGTTTCAAATAAATACCCAATTGCTGAACTATGTTTTCGAGTCTTATGAATTGACATTGACATATTATGACTATATGACTCAACACACATGACTTCAAATCAATGCAAACTTTATTTCCATAGCACATGCAGTTTGACCAAAACAGGCACAGATTGTATACAAAGCAAAAAAACAAACAAACTATAAAATAATCATTGTAAAACAATGCAGGACAACAGAAAAAAAGTTAAGGTGTAAAGCTTAACTCTATCAAAAGATACATATTCTTAAACCTGATATGGTTTTAATTGATTTTTGTTTTAGAGTGTTGCATTTTAGAAATATTTATGCCTGCTGTTTAAAGTCATTGCTTAAGGCAATACATCATGGTTTCCCATAAATGTACATTTACAATTATGGATATGGTATGTGGCTTTTGCAATAGTTGATAAATCAACTACATTAGTGTTTTGTATACCATTATCAGAGACCAAACAACAAATTGCTCAAAAGCATTAGAAGCCTTTATTAAAGGCTTCTCAATTCTCTAATTTCCCCCTCCTCGACTCTCCTCCTCGACTCCTATCCTCGTGTCTTAGTCCCGCTCACAGGAGATGCGAGCGGAGGAGTCGAGGAGGGGAACCGAGGAGAGAGGAGTGGAAGCAGTTAGAGAAATGAGAAATCCTCTCCTCTGAGCGGTCATTTTAAAGAGACGTCCATTAATGATGACAGGAGGCACATCACTCTGTCTAATGGACAGAACTGTGTTCATGATTTACTTTTACTTCATTCACAGTGTGGTATAATGAGACAATAACAGGCTACAGATGCGGACATATACATACACACATATATATTTATATGAATATGTACAATTTCAGATTCAAACAAGTATGAGAGCACTCTCATAATAACGTAACACTATCAGAGACTGGATATATCCCCCCCCCTCTCTGGTCGCTACAATGAGGAAAATAAATGACGGGCCAAAAGTTGTATTTACAAGTATTAAAAGTAAGCAGAGGACACCAACCACACACACACACACACACACACACACACACACACACACACACACACACACACACACACACACACACACACACACACACACACACACACACACACACACACACACACACACACACACACACACACACACACACACACACACACACACACACACACAGCTCCTAAAACAATATATGCAGTGGCGCCCCCCCTCTTCCCACATGTTTGATTGTCATTAAAAATTAATTAAAAAAATTATTATATAGTTGGTATCAGTAAAATGTATAATCTACAATAAAATCTCGTTTAAAATTGTTTTACGATATCTAAAGTTACTGATAAGTCACATGTTTCCTGCCTGGCCGCAGCGTGTATCATTACCCTCTCTCGTCCGGGCGGTAAGAAAGGAGCCCTCAGCCAGAGCAGCAGCAGCCAACAAGCTGACTGTTGCTATTTGTAAACTATAATAATATATAATATTTTTATAGCGCCTTTCAGGAAACCCAAGGTCGCTTTACAAGTCGGGTAGGGGGGGGGGAGTAGGGGGAAAAAGGCAGACAGGTTAAGGGGGTGGGGGGGGGAAGTAGCGGAAAAATAAACCTATTAAACTAACTATACAGTGGCGAAAGCCTTGGTAAAAAGGTGCGTTTTGAGGGCTTTTTTGAAAATGTCCAGGGTTGGGGCGCTGCGGATTTCGGGGCTGAGAGAGTTCCAGAGGTTGGGGGATGCCACACTGAAGGCTCTGTCACCAAAAGTCCGCAACCTGGTGCAGGGGGTGGAGAGGAGATCCTGTCCAGATGATCTTAGCTTCCGGGATGGAGTGTGGTAGCGGAGAAGGTCAGACAGGTATTGGGGGGCGAGGGCATGGAGGGATTATCTAAAAAGCCAGTTGAGTAGCACTTGAAATGTTTGGCTCTATGAAACCTGATGTACTTATATGATTCTGTTTTCTTCAAGGTTGTGTCTTCCTGGTCGAATGTACTTATTGTAAGTCGCTTTGGATAAAAGCGTCAGCTAAATGCAATGTAATGTAATGTAATGATGGCTGCCGGCCGAGATTTCCTTGACGGACACACAAATCCACCAATCCCACACAGTGTAAAGTCAAGCTGCTTTGAGCGGCCATATTGGCTGATGTGCCCTGGTTACAGTCTCACAGGAGATACTCGCTGGAAAGCTACTCATTCTAATTCTTACTAGATACAACCATGGAGGATTAAAATATAACGCATGCATTTCAGCGTGTCACATTAACTATCGCGGGCCGCCAGAAACATTTCCGAGGGCCGCCATTGGCCCGCGGGCCGCACTTTGAGAACCCCTGCTCTAAACCAACATGTTTTAGACATAGTCAAAGAATACTCACTAACACAAGTACAACTCGAGCCTACTCGAAAACAGAACATATTAGACTTGATATTCACTTCAAATCAAACGCTCATGCAAAATGTGCAAACAATACCAGGCATATCAGATCACTGTGCTGTCATGATGGACTCTAGTATACATCCTGTATATACAAAGAAAGCCCAGAGAAACATTTACAAATGTTCATTAGCAGACTGGGAAGCCATCCAAACTGAGCTGGAAGTGTTCAACACAGAATTAGTTAGAACAGAAAACCACGAACTGTGAATGACAACTGGAATATGCTCAGAGACGAACTGTTTTCACAGATGGATAAGCATATCCCGACCAAGTTCACTACCACACGGCACAACCTGCCCTGGCTCACTCACTGCATGAAATGCCAAATAAAAAATAAAAATAAGTTATACAACAAAGCCAAGCGATCAGGCAAAACTCGTGATTGGGAAAACTTCCGCAACCAAAAGAAACATGTTCAAAATAACCTTTGCAGTGCACACTGGGACTATATCGAAAACACACTCACCCAGAGTCTTGCTGAAAACAATACCAGAATATTCTGGAAATATGTCAAAGAGTGTGGAGCGGACAACATTGGAGTCTCCCCTATTAGAGAAGGTGAAGACCTCTACAGTAGCAGCAAAGACAAGGCTGAACTCATCAACAAACAATTTAAATCTGTATTTACTAAGGATGATGGTAGCCAGCCCTCTATATCAGGAGATCCAGCCCCGCAGATAGAAGACCTGATCATCACGACTGAAGGAGTGACCAAACTACTGGCAAATATTAAGATCAACAAGGCTAGCGGCCCAGATGGTTTACCCAATCGTATACTCAAAATGCTGGCCCCCCAAATAGGCCCACTGCTCAAGTGCGTATTCACGCAGTCACTGCAGGAAACAGGAAATCTACCCGATGACTGGCTGCAGGCAAACGTTACGCCTATATTCAAGAAAGGGGACCGGCACACCGCCGCAAATTACAGACCAGTTTCCTTGACAGTAGTATGTTGTAAACTCCTGGAACACATCATTTGCAAACACCTGTTGAATCACCTGGAAAGGCATAATGTCCTCACCCCGTTCCAGCATGGATTTCGACGACAACCATTTGTGTGAAACTCAACTCCTAGTCACAATGCATGACCTGGCAAAATATCATGACCAGAAATTGCAAGTCGATGTGGCAATCCTTGATTTCTCAAAGGCTTTTGACACGGTTCCACATAAGCCTGTTGCTAAAGCTGGCCCACATGGGTATAACCGGCCCAATACTTGATTGGACCACAACCTTTCTCATGCAAAGAAGCCAACAAGTAGTCGTAGAAGGGGTGAAATCAAGTACAGTTCACGTTGACTCTGGTGTCCCACAAGGCACTGTGCTGGGTCCATTGCTTTTCTTATGCTACATTAATGACCTGCCGTCACATGTAGCATCTACAGTGCGGTTATTCGCGGATGACTGCCTGCTCTACAGGCCTATTAAAAATGGAAGTGACCAAGAAGACCTACAGGGTGACCTGACTAGACTTCAGGAATGGGCTAACACTTGGGGAATGTGCTTTAATACTAATAAGGGCTACATCCTACGAACAAGCAGATCAACAAACCCGCACATTAAAAACTATACTCTATGTGGCCAGGTGTTAAAGAGGTGACCCACCAGCCTTATCTTGGGGTAGAAATCCATAACAACCTGAAATTTGACACATTGGCCAAATTGTAACACAGGCAAACCGTTCGCTCGGCTTCCTACGCCGGAACCTGCGACGCTGTCGCCAGAAACTGAAGGAGACAGCTTTTGTAGCCCTAGTGCGTTCTAAACTAGAGTACGCCAGCTCGGTCTGGGACCCCTACACTGATAAAGACAGTGATGCCCTGGAATCAGTACAAAGAAGAGGTGCAAGATTCATTTTTGGAGATTATGAATGGGACAGCAGTGTCACAGAAATGCTCAAGCGGTTGAACAGGGTGGAATTAAGTGAAAGGCGGCGATTGGCTCGTTTGGTTCTCTTCTTCAAGATTGTCCATAACATCTCAGCCATTAATGCATCAATGTACCTAGAGCCAGTTAGAAGAAGTGCAACCCGCAAAGCCAACTCTTTGAACTTCGAGCGAATTTTCGCAACTAGTGACACTCTTAAATACTCCTTTCCGAGAACAATCAGAGAGTGGAATTTGCTACCAGAAGAAGCTGTCATCGCAGAAACCGTGGAGTGCTTCCGGCAAATGTTAAGAGACATTTAGCGGGGATCATCCATCCCCCACTGAGCGTGATACCTCTGGGTTCTGCTCAGTATTAATCCAGATCCCCTGGGCCCAAGAGTTCAAAGGTTTTAATCTCAATCAGATCCGATCAGATTTTGAAATCCCATTTCTTGTGATCCAGGATCAGACAAGTCGGCCAAATTTTGTCCCTGGAGTTCAAAGCAATTCAGGATAGGATCAGTCTGATCCAGATTACGATTTTTCAAGATGACTAGATCCTGAATATCAGTGCTTTAATCCTACCATTCGCCATCTAGTGGATATGAAAAATAATACAAGGAAGACAAGAGACCACATTGCAGAGACATAATGTTTAATTATATTTTTAAATACATAAAGGACATCAAATCATAATGAAATTGTAATTAAAAAAAATACTCCCACTAGGGTAACAACAAT